AGACATTTCCAACATCATTTTTCAGGCAAATGGCTCACAGTAAAATAAATAAATAAAAAAAAAATAAATCACTAAACACAAAGGGGAAAAAAAGCACTATGAGCAAGATCTAGCAGAAATCACAAACAGCAGAAACACACTTGCAAGGTCTTCAGTCATAGGGATGATCACATTCAGAATGTAAAATAACCATGTTTCATATGTTTAAAGAAGGAAGAATCAAGCTGGAAAATATCTGCAGGTCATCAGAAAGCATAAAAAATGACCAAGAAAGTTTGAAAAAGAACAAAAAAATGAAAAGGTAAAATAATTGAAATCTAATAATTTACTGTTTACTGTTAATTTACTAACCACCAAAAGGAAATACTAAAAATGAAAATCAAAACAATTGAACTCTGTTACCACTTTATTTTCGTGTGGTGTAAGCAGATAAAATAACAATATATATCAGAGGGTCTTCTTTAAATTCAAAATTGAAAAACATAGTTTGAAAAATAAATATATCTAATTATTAAAATTTTCACAATTGGTTAGTTGTCTAATTTGGAATAAAGAAACTGATTATTTTTCTTATACACCCAGAGACACACCAGTGTCAGGTCTTAACATCTTGTGTAGTAACATGCAGTACAGAATTCATATTTTAATCCTTTAACTGGGAACAATATTTAGTTTTATTCATTTTCACAACAGAAAACAGGTATTTACAAACTTGGGTACTTCTGAACATCAATAGAATCTTTGTACGGTGAGTTTTGTTTTTTTGTTTTTTTGGGGACAGGGTCTCATTTTGTCACCCTGGCTAGAGTACAGTGGCATCATCATAGCTCACTGCAACCTCAAACTGCTGGGCTCAGGTGATCCTCCAAGTAGCTGGGACTACAGGCGCACACCACCACGATTGGCTAATTTTTATATTTTTTAGATAGAAAATGAGACGGAATCTCATTCTCGCTCAAGCTGGTCTTGAACTCCTGGCCTCAAGTGATCCTCCAGCCTGAACCTCCCAAAGTGCTGGGATTACAGGTGCAAGCCACCATGCCCAGCCCTTTTTCAACATTATAAAAGTGAATTACGGATGAATTAATGACCAAATGGTAAAAATAAAGATGCAAGATTAATATAAAAAAATGATGATCTTTGTGATCTTGGAATGGGAAATTCTTCTTAAACAAGACCTCAAAGCGCAAAGTATAAGGAAAAATTTTAATGAATTTAATCATATCAAAATTCAGGATTTCTTTCAATGAAGGCAACCATAGATAAAGCTAACAGAAAGGTTTATAGTACAGTTGCCATATCTAAAACTCATATGATAACAGGTTTATTATCTGGAATATTAAAAGGCATTCCTGAAAAATCAATAAGAAAAGGACAGGAAAATCCAATGGAACATTGGGCAAGGGCCATGAACAGGCACTTCACAGGAGAGGAAACAAGAATGGCTATCAGGGCATGTGGAGAGATGCACACCTTGTTGACAATCAGAAAAATTCAATGCAAAATAGCAATATCACTTTATCTTTCTGGACTATCTGATTGACAAAATTGAGATGGCTGAATAATGACAAGTGTTGGCAAGGATGTAGGAAACTCTCATGCACTGCTGGTGGGCACACTGTGAAACAGGGAGCAATCTGACAGTATCCCATCAATAAGCACGCATGTGCTCTATAACCCAGAAATCTCAGAGACCTGTGCACAGGCCAACAACTAGATATGTGCAAGGACAGTCACTGTAGCATTATTTGTAGTGACAGGAAGTGGAGGCAACCTGGGCATCTATCACTGGAAGAATGGATCAGTAAAATGTGGCAGGTGCACACTATGGAATTCTATGCAGCAGGAAGAAGGGGAAAGAAAGAAATAAAATAGTGCACCCCACATTTTTTATCAAAAGAGCCAAGTTTTTCTCTGGAGCCCTGCCCATCAGACTTCTGTATGCATTTCATTGGCCAAAATTGTGTTACGTGATCACACCTAGCTAAAAGGTGACTGGAGAGAAGAGGGGTTATGGGTGAGGATTGTGTCAGCTAATGAGAGATGTCTGACATATAATCTGGTAGATTTCTTCTAACTGTTGCACAGAATTCAATAGTGTCCATCTACCACATTTTATTTTGATGGCTAGAGATATAGCAGTCATCTTGAGGAAAAGTCAAGAGAATCCCAGAGAAGGCCCTGACATCATCAAGTTCCTTAACCAACACCAATAGCTTCCTATCCCTAAACTTTTTATCGTGTGTGAAAAAATAAATTCCTGTTGAAGCCACATGTGTCAGTTAGAGTTCAGTTGCAGCCAACAGAAATAAATCTGGTTAGTTTAAATAGAAAGGGATGGAGAAGTAGGCTCTAGGTCCAGGGACAACTCTCAGCTTTGAGAGTCACATGACTTCCGCCCGTGAGTGGGAAAACAACAGTCTCTGCTAAGAGAAGATGATGAATCAGGAAGCTGCACACTAGAGGCCCACGGCTGCTGTCATGACCTGTGAGCAAAACGGATGTCTCATGTTATGTAGCTCTGTTCCAAATTTTTATCTTGCGCAAGAGCAGAACCTAAGCCATGGATTCCTAGCTCAAAGGAATCTGGGAAGTGTTGTTTTAGCTTTCCAGTTTCTGCAGTTCAGAAGAAACACTAAAAGGAGTTTGGGACTCATGTGGAGCAGCTAGTCTACCACCAAATGCGCTCCTAGCTGATATGCTGTGCATAAAGCGACAAGTGTGGATCTTAAAAACACAGTATTGAGTGAAAAACGACAAACAATCAGCTCTGTAGCACAGTTCATAACATGTCAGTTAAACACACACACACAAATCAACGCTACCTTTTCAATGAAATGTACATTTTCAAGGATATTAATTTATAAGTGCCAACTAGTAAATGGAAAAGGAGAATGGGGTGTGGGGATTAAGGGTGAAAGAGAGAAACTAAATAAAGTAAAATAAAATGAGAGGTCTTGTATAGACTGATGGTGGGAGCGATACAAATGGAGGAATATAATTGGCTCAGTTTTCCACATCTGAGGTCCAAAACCAATCCACTACATTTCATATTTAATGTTAATTTAAATATCAATTTAATAATTATCAAATTAATACAATTTAATGTAAATATTTTATATTTAATTTACCATACCAAAACTAATCTATTAAGTTTAATAGATCATAATTTCTGTACTCCTAATTTGACAATTCTTCATGTTTTGATTTCTCCAGAACCCTAAAAGATCGGTTCAGGTGACCCCTGGAGGCCCCAGCCCACAGTCATTCTGAGAGTCCCAACCCTATTTAGTGCGATGTCTTCACTGTCTGCACTCACTCATACCCTCTCCTACCATCACCTCCTCCCCAAGTTCCACTCCTCCAAAGCAGGCGGGGGTGGGGGGTTGGGGGAGCTTCAGGTTCTCGGAGCTGGGTTCCAAGACCCCATAAACCTTCCATCTTCCAAGGCTCCATTTGGGAGCGCAGCTGGTATCCCCAACAGGTATAACGTGCTTGCGTTGGTCCTGGGCGGGGAGTCTTTCAGAGCCCACTCCTGGTGGGAGGGGCTTCCCAGCGCAGGCCACGCCCACTCTGCAGGATCCTGGGGCGGGTCTTGTTCGGCTCTGAGACTAGAGCACCCGCCCCTCCAGGCCCCCAATCCCTTCCTAACCCGGCTTGATCCAGCTCAGCCCCGAGGTGTTTGCAGCAGCTTTTTCTGAAAGTCCAACCATCTGTTACCTGCGTTGCTTCCTGGGAAGGAAGCCTCTCAGGTTGCCTCCGAGAAGTCTGGGGGGATGCTGTTGGGCCAAAGCTGTGCCCCAGGATGACTGCCTCGTAGAGACTTTCCAAACCCCAGGTAAGGTCCAGTGGGAAAGATAAAATGACGACCTTCCACCCCACCTCCGTAAATCTCACTGGGATCCTGACTTAGAGTGAACCGTGAACTTAGAGCCCTGTCCACTTAGGGCTCCTGGCCCACTGCTTGTCCTCTCTCCCCATGGATGGAGCCAGACACCTGCTGGGATAAAGGCTTTCCCTGGGGCAAGGGTTGGGCGATTTTCAGCTACCCCCCCACCCCCACCCCCCTTCACCCAGGACTCAGGGAGACACTGCTCCTCTCCTCATAGACTCCAACTGCCTGAGGAGGGCCTCGCCTTCTTGTCCCCAGACTGGAAGAGGAAGAGCGGCGGCCATTGCACGGGGGAAGGCTGGACATGTCTGAGGCACTGTCCTGCCCGGGCAATGAGACCCCTGCCCGAAGCTGCAGGCTGGGGGCCCTGTACTGGGCCTGTGTCCATAATGACCCCACCCAGCTCCAAGCCATACTGGATGGTGGGGTCTCCCCAAAGGAGGCCACCCAGGTGGACCGCAATGGGAGGGTGAGATGCCCCGGGTGCTACCCAGGACAACTAGGGGCAGCTCGGTCTCCCCACCACGCCATCCTGATCTGACTCCCTGGGAGAGATTCGGGACCTACTGCCGGTCCTTAGGAGGAAGGGAATGGGTGAGGGTGGGTCTTCACGGGGGTTAGGACAGCCTCTGGGACAGGTGTGGGTTTAGAGAGTACAAGGGGACTGGGAAGCCCCTGGAGGAAATCAGGGGACTGAGCTGCCCTGCCCTCAGACAGGCCTCATGGTCGCATGCTACCACGGCTTCGGGAATGTTGTGGCCCTGCTCAGCCGCTGTTCTTTCCTGGATGTGAACCAGCAGGACAAAGATGGGAACACAGCGCTCATGCTGGCTGCCCAAGCAGGTGCGAGGCTGCTGAGCTCCACCCTCCACCAGCCTCCCCTGCCCCCACTCATTGCACAACATTCTCCTGTGCAGGCTTTGTCATGTTGGGTGGAGGGTGGGTTTGGAGGCTCATCACCCCCTTTCCTGGGGGGCCAAGCTCTGCTCTCGGCGCCCTGCAGGCCACGTGCCTCTGGTGAATCTCCTGGTCAACTACTATGCGGGCCTGGACCTGGAGCGCCGGGACCAGCGGGGTCTCACGGCGTTGATGAAGGCTGCCATGCGGGACCGCTCTGAATGCGTGGCTGCTCTCCTCATGGCAGGTGCGTGGGGCCTGGAGCAGGGTGTGTGGCCTCCAGTCCCTCCCCCAGGCCTCCCCACCGGACAGTAAGTCAGCTATTATTTAGTCGCAGAGAGGAGAGAGGTGGAGCTAGAGGATCAACCTAATTCAACTTCCTGGAGGAGGGGAGTGTGCTGTGGGCTCTTCACAATCAGCAAAACCCAGCGATTGCTAGCTCTCTTTGCATCGTGGGTGGGGGGCCCAGAAAGGAAAGCTCGGGAGGGTGACCTAGCCCAGCTGGAAAACCTAAAACAAAAAAGGCTGGTGTCTGGAACCAGACTCTTGGGTTCTAGTCCTGGCCCTGCCACTAGCGGAGTGGCCCTGGGCAGATGGCTTCCCTCAAGCCAGGCTTCCAGGGGACACAGTGAATTGTCATTGAGGCATGTGGCTGTGTGGGGTTGTTGGGGGGGATGACATCCACATTGTCCATGGAGTTGTGGGCCCCATTATTCCCTGAGGTGGGACTGCCCTCTGCTGGTCACTCCGGGAGACCCCCACCCTCCAGCTTTTCCCTGCCCCACCCCACCAGACTGCGTTTGGGGGAGAAAGGAGGGAGCTCCACACCCCTTCCTTTGTCTCAGAGTGACTGCCCCACCCCCGCCATTAGAGGGGTGTGGTGACGAAGAGGAGAGCCAGGAGAGGGAACAAGCAGAACATCCCCTGTCAGCTCCAGAGGGTGTAGCTCAGGACACCACCTGTCCTGGGCTACCTGCACACCACTCCTCTGCTCCGCTCCTTGCACTCAGGAGGACCCTATTCTACTCGAGGCTGGAAACCCATAGGAGGTCTCTCTGAAGTCTTTTCCCCTCTCTGGAGTTAAGTCTCCTCACGTCTCTTACACAGGAGGTTGCAACACTAGCCTCCAAGATTGCAGTTTCAACAGGATAAGACTCTATGGTTTTGAATCTAGCCCAAGTAGGTCTTGCTGCTAAAGAATCTGCTCTTCCGCAAACCACCAATCTCTATCCCACCCCACATCACCCTTATGTCCCCCCACCCCCCAGGTGCTGACCTGACAGCAGTGGATCCTGTTAGGGGCAAGACGGCCCTGGAGTGGGCAGTACTGACTGACAGCTTCGACACCGTGTGGAGGATCCGGCAGCTGCTGCGGCGGCCACAAGTGGAGCAGCTCAGCCAGCACTACCAGCCAGAGTGGCCGGCCTTGGCGGGGCTCGTGGCCCAGGCCCAGGCCCAGGCCCAGGCTGCTCCATCTCTCCTAGAGCGGCTACAGGGAACCCTGAGCCTCCCTTTTGCCCGGTCTCCTCAGGAGGGGGGTGTCCTGGACCACCTTGTGACTTTCACAACCAGCCTGGCCAGTCCCTTCCTCGCCACTGCCTGCCACACTCTGTGCCCTGACCACCCGCCTGCACTGGGCACCCGAAGCAAGTCGGTGCCAGAGCTGCTAGGTACTGCCCCGCCCCCTCCCCCAGTCCCTTCCCCTCCCCTGGTAGTCCCTGGTCCCCGAGCCTTTGTCCCCTACCAGAGCCCTCAAGGCATATTGAGTGTGTTCCCTCAGTGGCTACAGCCCAGGGACAGTACCAGCCCGAGGCCCCAAGTCCCCAAGATCCTCCTCTCCAAGGCATCCTCATCCTCCAGCCAGTGCAAGCTGAACCGCAGTCCTGCGGGGCATCAATGTCTGGCCCTTCCTCTCTGGCGATACCAGCAGCTCAGGATGGAGAGGAGGAGGCAGGAGGAGGAGGGCTAGGCCAGGCTGGGAACAGGTAATCAGGCCCCTCCCTAGGCTCCTTTTCCCTTTAGAGCCTCTTCTGCCTTTCCATCCACCTTTGCCTAAGTGAATCTGCTCTCAACCTATGTACAGGTCATTCATTACAGCGTTGTTTGCAACAGTAAAGAGGTGGAAACAACCTAAGTGTCCATCAACAGGCTCAGTGGCTCATGCTTGTAATCCCAGCATTTTAGGAGGCGGAGGCAGGAGGATCACTTGAGCCCAGGAGTTTGAGACTGGCCTGGGCAACATAGTGAGACCCTGTCCCTACAAAAAAATTTTTAAAAAATAGCCAGGCATGGTGGTGCATGCCTGTAATCCTAACTACTGGGGAGACTGAGGTAGGAAGATCAATTTGCTTGAGCCAGGAGTTTGAGGCTGCAGTGAGCCATGATCTCACTACTGCACTCCAGCCTGGGTGACCCTGACTCTAAAAGAAAAAAACGGGAGGGACTGCTAAGTTGATTAGGTGTGTAATTACTGCACACCCATATAGTATATTCTATGCAGTATATTATAAAACAAGAATAAGGAACCTGTATTCTGATATGAAACTATCTTCAAGATGCATTAAGTGAAAATAACTGAGGGGTAGAACAATGTGTTCCTATTTGTCAAAGTAAAACTTTCACAAAGATAAACAGGACTAATGCAAATACACACTGAGTATGAAGTTTTTTAACTATCTAATGAGTGAACTAACAGGATAAATCAAAGAAAGAAATGACAGTCAGTGGAGAAAAGAATGCTGGAATCAGATTGCAATGTTAGATACAAAAAAGTTCATTACTACCTGGCAGTAAAACCAGAACTGTTTTTATTTTTTTCTAGCAGACAAAAATAATTTACTATTTATCGATCTTTAACAGGTTAACCTCATCTTTTAGGGAGTCTGGGCCCTAATCAATAGTAAATAGTATGTCAAACAAAGTTAACTTTCCCTAGATGACCCATAGGTAAGGTTATTAGCTAATGATCTAAAGTATCTTTGAAAAGGCACTTAATAACTTTTTTGGCCTTATTTACAAGTTTTGAATATTTTTTCTGAACACATTTGTTGTACAAATATATTTGCTTTTATATTCATAATAATTATAGCAACCACTTATAAGGTACTTACTGTATACGTTACCACATTTAACCCTCCAATAATCCTGAGGATTTTTATCTTTGAGGACACAAGGCACAGAGAAGCTAAGGAGTTGCCCAGATGCCACAGCTGGAAACTGGCAGAGATCAAGATCGAGACGCAGCCATCCAGCTGTGGCCTCCAGGCTCTTAACACTAAACAGTACCGCCTCCCTGGAACATCCCTGGAGAGAAACATGGTGTATTTCTCTGCAAGAGGACTGAACAGCTGCAGGAGTGGGAAGGAAACTTTCTGCTAAATATCTTTTTGAACTGTTTGATTTAAAAAAAATAATAAATTGCATTTCTTAGAATAGTTTTAGATTTACAGAAAAGTTGTGAAGATCATACACAGAATCCCCACATATCCAACACCCAGTTTCCCCTATTATTAATGTGAGTGTAGTACATTTTTTACAATTAATGAACCAATATTAATACATTACTAACTAATATCCATACTTTATTTCGATTTCCTTAGTCTTTACCTAATGTCCCTTTTCTTTCTTTTTTTTTTTTTTTTTTGAGACAGAGTCTCACTCTTTCGCCTGGGCTAGAGTGAGTGCCGTGGCGTCAGCCTAGTTCACAGCAACCTCACACTCCTGGGCTCAAGCAATCCTTCTGCCTCAGCCTCCCGAGTAGCTGGGACTTACAGGCATGCGCCACCATGCCCGGCTAATTTTTTCTATATATTTTTAGTTGGCCGATTAATTTATTTTTCTATTTTTAGTAGAGACAGGGTCTCGCTCTTGCTCAGGCTGGTTTTGAACTCCTGAGCTCAAACAATCCGCTCGCCTCGGCCTCCCAGAGTGCTAGGATTACAGGCGTAAGCCACCGCGCCCGGCCCTAATGTCCCTTTTCTACTGCAGAATCCCATCAGGGCACCACAGTGCATTTAGTTGTTACATCTCCTTAGCCTCCTCTTGACTGTGACGGTTTCTCAGACTTCCCTTGTCTCTGATGCTTTTGACAGCTTTGAGTAGTACTGGTCAGGTATTTTGTGAATGTCCCTCAATCGGGATTTGTCTGATGTTTTTCTTAGGATTAGTCTCGGGTTATGGGTTTTCGGGAGGAAGGGCACAGACAGAGGTAAAGTTTTCACTTTCATAAGCACATCAAGGGCACACACTAAGAGCGTGACTTACACTGTTTTTTTTTTTTTAATTTTTAAATCTTTTTTCTTTCTTTTTTTTTTTTTTCCTTCCTCCCCTCCCCGCCTCTGGCAAAATGCCGTGACTTACACTGTTGATATTGGCCTTGATCACCCAGCTGAGGTAGTGTTTGTCAGTTTTCCCTACTGTGAAGTCCTCTTCTTTCCCCCCTTTATACTGCATTCTTTGGAAGGAAGTCACTATGCGAAGCCCATACTAAAGGCATGGGGAATTATACTCCATCCCCTTGAGGACAGAGTATATAAATTATTCGCAATTCTGCACAGAGCGTGGTGACTTTGAAATTATGTATTACCATATTGTGAAAAATTTAAAAACAAATTTGCTCTTCGAATAGGGGAACCACCCCACCACATATACACACGCATATATTCTGAGGCGAAAATGACTAATAGGGTTAATGCGCGATATCTCCCAGAGGGCCCTGAAGGCAACAATGGTGGACTAGAACAGCCTCAAGGCTAACTTTGCTAATTCCCACATGTTTGATCCTCAATAAGGCACTTAGGTTTCTCTTGCCTCAGCTTTCACATCTGTCAAATGGAGCAAACAGGGCTGTTGGAGGGATTCCTCAGATAATGTGGGTGAGAGGGTTCTGCAGACAGTACAATGCTGTCAATAGGTAGGGTATTGGCTGGGCACGGTGGCTCATGGCTGTAATCCTAGCACTCTGGGAGGACAAGGCGGGAGGACTGCTTAAGGTCAGGAGTTTGAGACCAGCCTGAGCAAGAGCGAGACCATCTCTACTAAAAACATAGAAAAAAAAATGAGCCAAGAGTGGTTGCAAGCACCTATAGTCCCAGCTACTTGGAGGCTGAGGCAGGAGAATCGTTTGAGCCCAGGACTTTGAGATTTCTGTGAGCTAGGCTGATGCCATGGCACTCTAGCCCAGGTGACAGAGCAAGACGCCGTCTCAAAAAAAAAAAAAGAAAGAAAGAAAGAAAGGTGGGGTATTAAGGAAGGGCCTGGGGAAGCAAGTCTGAGACGTTTCCGGGCCTCCAGGGTGAGCGGAAGTTCTTTCCTCCCCACCCACTGCTGAAATGGCGGCACGGGAGGCCAGCCTTGTCATTGGGCATCACGGATGGGGAAAGAAACTCCATCTGCAGTCTTGGAACAGCATGGTGGCCGGATGCTTCAGCCTGGGAGTTGGCCTGTGACCTTGGGCAAGCTATCAACCTCTCTGAACCTCACAGCCCCCGTGTGTAGAATGGAGGTAGGCAAAACATGCTCACCACGGCTGCTGTGAGAGCTGAGTGAGGTAATGCAGCCCTTGGTACCGTACCTGGCCTTCTTAATATCATTTTCTTATTTAATTTTCACAACCTTCGTTTTTTACAGTTGAGGAAACTGGGGTTACGGAGCTTATGCGACTTGCCTAATGTCAACAGCTGACAAGTGGCATAGTGGTACTTAGAGACTCCAAAGCCTGGGCTCGTTCCACTCCAGCTCATGGCCTCTGCCCACAGCCAGGGCTCCTCTGATTCTTTGAGCCTCTCCCTCCCACCTCCAACCTGCTCTGGGGGGACCGCTGCACCTTCCAGGCCAGGGAGCTCGCCCTCTCTTGTTCTCTCTGCCTCTCGTCTTGGCTGGCCTGGGGATCTAGTGGGAGGGACAGTGATGCCTGGGCCCCTGGCCAGACAACATTGTCCAGCAGAGGGAGCCTCTCCACCTTGGAGAAGACCCACCCCTGTGGTCCCTGGCCACCTCCAGGGCAACTATCGACTCAGAACTTCACTCCTGCAATTCTCCCTCCCTTCAATCCCCTATTAGCTCCTGACAGCAGCCTTCCCTCCTCCCCCTAAACCCTTTCAGGCTGAGCAGAGGGAGGGAAGCTTTGAGGCCTGGAGCTGCTCTGCCTGTGCCTCTTCTAGCATCCTGGCTCTCCCACCCTTATCCCAGCCCCTGAGGCTTCCAAACTGGAACCCACGACAAGGCTGTGCAGAATTCAGGGCACTTGAGGCCTCCCTGTGACAGCGACGGTGCTGCATTTGGAATCCCACAGAGCCAGGCCTCTCCCAGGCCCCTCACCTCATTAGTAACACCAAATGATGATAACATAAAATAGCTACTTCCCAAGTTGTTGTGTGGCTTAAGCCATGCGGGGTATGCAAGGCATCGAGCAGCACCTGGCACGTGGTCACATACAGTGGGTCAGCAGCAGCAGCTGTTACTGTGCTGGAGGAAGTAGCCAAGGGTGCCATGTTGGAGGCTGATGGATGTGTCCTTGGGGCCCCATGGCCTCCCCTGTGATTCTATGGTACTATTCTGGTGGCTCCTAAAATGAAAACACACACTTAACCTAGACAGGCTTCTCAGGCCAGCTCCTGCACATCTCTGCGTCCCCCAGCCCAGGCCCACTCCCAACCTGCTGCCCCTCACTGCAGCGCTGGTGGCTGGCCAGTGCTCCCTGTGTGTGCATGTGCACGTGTGCACATCCCGCTATGGCAGACGGGGCTCCTACACCTGGGCTGCAGGGTTGGCTGTCCTGACACACTGGGGTGTCAGCCAGGCTCGCAGGGACTCCTGGGGAACCCTACTCACACCCATGTGGAAGGGACCATGTCTGTATCCCTGGCCCCTGGCCCGGCCCCTGGCCCATGCAAGCGTCAATACATGTGCACAGAAAAGAATGGAATTCAGGCTCCACTAAGGTCGGGGATGCTTGGGGGGGCCTTTATC